CCACCACGGGGAGGGAAGAAAATGGTTTTGTTTTCAAATTACTTTTCAAAATATTTATTTTTATACTATTAAAATTAATACTGTGGATTTAATTACAAGAATTTAATGATGAGAAAAATATATTTTAAATATAGGATTTAATGAGAGAGAATAGGAAAATATTTTTATTTTTAATTGGTTTTAAATTTTACATTCCATTTTCATCATTAATAAAAACATTTTTAACATACTTATTATTGTCTAATATGTATATTAAAAATATTTCCATTTTTTTATTTTATCTATTTTTTAATTTTATTATTTAACAATGGCAACATGGATTAACCCATTTGACCCAAAATGGTTTAATTTCTTACTACCACTTAGATGAAAACACTATTTTTTCTAGGTAGATTTTAAAGGTATAAGTTTTTATGCTATTGAAACTATTAATTTATTAAGTATGGATTTAAGTAATAGAACTTAATGATGAGAAGAAATAAAGATGACTTAATATATGATTTAATGAACATGAATGTAAGTTAATAACTTAAATGTTGGATTTAATGAGAGAGGATTGAATGCATTGAATATCTTTATATTACCTCTTTTCAACTCATTTAATATCAAGAACCAATTGCCCTACTTGCCCTCATTTTTTATCATTAAATTTAAATATAGAAAGGTAAATATTGTCCTTAGAAAATTCCAGAAATATTCTTGAGGCCATTCATACTTTTTAAAGTAGTATAGGTTGATGGATGATTATTCTCGGTGTGGGCACTTGTATCTAATGAGATACAAGTCTGATTCATTTAAAATGTTCAAAGAATTTAGGCATGAAGTCAATAAACAGTTAAGGAGACAAATTAAAACACTTCAATCAGATTGAGGTAGAGAATCTCTCTCTAACAAATTTAAGGACTACTTTAGGGATAATAGAATCATTTCACAATTGTCTCCTTCTACTACACCACATCTGAAAGGTACATTAGAGAGAAAAAACCAAACTTTATTAGATATGGACCACTCCTCATTCATTCAGAGTTGTTCGTCCCTTTTGGGGACATATACTAGAAATTACTATATAAGTGTTGAACTGGGTTCCAACCAAGTTATTTCCTAAGACTTTATACGAGCTATGAACTGGCAAGAAACCAAGTGTTAGTCACTTAAATATATGAGACTGTTCAGCACACGGCAAAAAGATAAGTATATTGGCAAGAAACCAAGTGTATGGCACTTAAATATATGGGGTTGTTCAACACACATCAAAAAGTGTTGTCAAGTTGGAATCTAAGACCAATTGTTCATATATGGGGTTGCTCAACACACATAAAAAAGACAAGTATTGACAAGTTGGAATTTAGAACCAATTGTTCATATATGGGGTTGCTCAACACACATAAAAAAGACAAGTATTGACAAGTTGGAATTTAGAAACAATTGTTGCTTATTTGTAGGTTACCCTAATGACTCTATTGGGTATATTTTCTATGACTTAAGTGAACAAAATGTCTATTAATCAAAATGTCTCTTTCTTAGAAGAGGATTACATCTTGAATAATCATCATCAAGAAGTTGTTCTTGATGAGGAGAAATTTGATATAGTAGGAAATGTCCCACAAGATCTAGATACAAATACTCAACCTAGAAAATCTATTCGCGTCTAGACTTATTCAATATGGTTACGATTAACAGACCTTTTTTATGAAAACCGAGGATAGTGAGAAAGATCCCTTAACTTATACAAAAGTTATATTGGACATGCTCCTTGAAGTGGGTAGATACCATAAAAGTTGATGTGGACTCAATGAAAACTAGCAAAGCATGGACTCTTGTAGAACCACCCCTTAGGCTCAATTTGGAAGGAGTACAAATACAAATATGTACAATACAAATACATACAAAATAATACAAAATACAAGGTTTTGCACTCTACATATTTTTATTTGTACTCCTTCAGCCTTAAGGTAAAAGAAATTGGTTTCAAATGGATCTTCAAGAAGAAAAAGAATCCTAAGGGAAAAATTGATACCTATACAACTTGGCTTGTGGTGAAGGGTTTCATTTAGAAAGAGAAAATTGATTATAAAGAAACCTTATTGCTTGTGGCCATGCTAAAGTCTGAATACTATTGGTGATAGCCATACATTATAATTATCTGGTAAATAGATGTTAAGACTACGTTCTTAAAAAGACATTTTAAAGAAAATATTTTTGTGTAACAGCTTAAAGGCTTTGTTTCTAAGGGTTATGAACACATGGTGTGCAAGTTTAATAGGTCAATGGGCTAAAGCAAGCTTTTAGAAGTTGGAACATCTAGTTTGATTCAACTTTCAAATAGTTTGACTTTGAGTAAAATGCAAATGAACTCTATGTAAAAAGATAGTGGGAGAAAAGATTATATTTCTAGTACTTAACGTAGATGATGTCCTACTCATTAGGAATGGTATAAAAATGTTGTCATCAATGAAGATTTGGCTTTCATAATAGTTGTCTATGAAAGATCTTAGAGAGGCTTTCTACATCTTGGAACTTCAAGTTTGAAGAGATAAATCAAAATAGTTGATAGGGTTATATATAATAGTCTACTTACATTGATAAGACCATTAAGAGGTTCAACATGCATGATTCCAAAAAAGGATTTGTCCTTTTCATTCAAGAGCTATGAGTTGTACCTTCCAACACATTACTTATTCGAGAGCTCACTTAAAGTCTTAGTACATAGAAAGGAAGTATTATATTTCTACATGAGATAGTTGGGAGATGAGACATCTAGGTTCAGAAGGTAGCATTAGTAAAGAATGTAGTGGACCCATTAATTAAGCCACTAACACAAAAAGTGTTTAAGGGACATGTGGATATTATGGGACTATGACTTATACCTAATTGGACTTGAGTGCAAATGGAAGCTATTAGACAATGTATGACCTCAGCTCCAATCAAATTGATGTATTCTAACATTTATTAGTGAATAAAATTAAATCGTTATTATTTCATATGTATTTTGGCATGTTTTTTTTTGTGTATCACCTCTTAAACTAGACATCTATGAGACTTATGTTAATTTAGAATATTCTTAACCACTAGATAAACTTGACAAGTTTATCCTACCAAGGCTAATACTATTATATTGCCGAATTGGTGTAGTTTGTCTTAACTACTAAGGTTGGACCTAAGGTACAACTAGTGTGTGTTAATTGAACATTAAATGGATACCACTTTCAATTATGTCTTGGACCTACTGAAAAGTTGCATCGTTGGATGGGTTAGAGTCCAGAATATGGATGGCTAAACCAAGTTTAATGGATGGCCAAATTTCAAAATTTTTTTAACCCAACCCAGGAACCGATTTCTCAAAGATTTTGAAATCTAAAATTTCTATATCAATCTTGCACTGAACCGGACTAGATTTGAAACCAAAATTAAAACTAATTATACCTGATACAGAGTCCACAAATTGTATCTCCTAGAGTGGTAGTTCATACCCAAAATGACTCCCAAAAATCGGTCTCCAACTGAAGATGGCACATTGAAAGAGAAGTCGATTCAACAACATTGTTTTCTACAAAACTATTATCCAATTGCCTTGGATCGACTGGGATTTGTGAGTCTGATTTCCCCAACAATTTTCTTGTAGAACACAGTGGGAAAACTGATAAAAAACAATTCTTTCAATGGCTGGGTAGTGATAAGGTTATTGGGAGAGAAGAGAGAAGAGGAGAGAGCAAGAGAGTGAAGAGAACAAGTTCTATTTGCCTTCTCCCTCTTAATCTCCTTTTGTGAAGCACTCTCTTAATTAGATGATCAAAATCTAATTTGGATCTATACTCTTTTAAGAGAAGCATTATCCCCGTAAGATGATAGGTGCTTTGTACCCAAAACCATGCCTAGTTTCGACCCAAATCAAGTTGTCATGTACTTAACTAATCTCATTAGTAATGGGCCTTTGACCCATTTTCTTTAATGGCTCATGTCCGTAAGTGTTGCATGGCCACTTGGGCCTGATATTGTATGGCGTGGGACCCCACAATGGTCTCGTATAGGTCTTACTTAGAATTGCAATCATAGTTACATTTGCAATTCCAGATGCATCTAGGAACTGCAATTCCCCATAGATTTTTGTTTTATGTTTAGTTTCATAGCAATTCCTCATAACTTGGTTTCGCAAAAACAAGGGAGAGAAGGGAAGAAAAACGGGGAAGATCAAGAAAAAAAGTGTGTGTGTGTGAGAGAGAGAGAGAGAGAGAGAGATTTCCTTAGGCCCTTTTTAAGCCCTCATGGCATACTATGACCAATTCGAGATTAGGTAACTGTAAGGTTGTGAAACCAAATATGAAAGAGAGATCACAATCTGATCTCTGGGCCTCAGAGGATGGCTAAGGATGCCCATTGCATGGTTCTGGTTTTTCGGGTTTGCTCAGGTGCCCATTTCAAAGTAGTTCATGCAATTAGTGAGTGTCCTGTCCAAACCAAGTTAGAGGGATTGATTAAATTCATTCAGATTAATAAACAAATGAAAAATCACATAGAAGCAGAGATTTCAACAATAAATAATAGATAAAGTAAGAATTGAGAAACCTTGATGGATCCTTAAATCATGTTTTAATGTGTGTGTGTGTGAAGAGAGAGAGAGGGAGACCTCGTGAACAGCCACAATCTCTTATAAAACTTGAAGAACAACGATGGATGTTAAAGTCTATTTATCCGTCTCTTCAAAGGCATTAAGGGCAAACTGAGATTTTCAAAGCACCATATGCTAACAAATGTGGATGGAGAGTTAATGGATGGGAGGTTTTTGTCCACTTATATCCAAGGGGGGTAGGGGATGTTTCAGTATTTAGGTGAAATCTCAGGGAGGTTTAAGTCTTTTACCCTAAAAAGAAAGGTGTGTTCATGACGTCTAAGTGTAAAGTGTAGTTGCTGTGAAAACTCACTATATGAATATTTTGGTCATGCTTATGGAGTTTTGACAGTCAAGTGCTGGCTGGAATTACTTTACCAAGACCTTTGAAATTCTAGTTTATAGAGCTCAAAATGTGAGAGGTTGAGTGCGGGTTTGCTGGAGATTTTGCAACAAGAAATTGTCACCGAAGTCAATTTGTTATTCTCTTGCCTTCAATTATTTTATGAGAAATTTGGCTTGAGAAATGTAGAAAAATTATGATGGGAAAGCTTTTACAGCAGATCAAGTTGTTCCAAGAATCAAACATTGGCTGCAGGTTTTAAATAAATTGATTTCATGGCTTCAGCATGCTAATTCTAGTAGGCAATGAAACATTAAATTGTAAATCACTTCGAAGCCTATTATTATCAAGAAGATCCAATGGATAAAATGGCATCCTCGTGAAGAAAGTGTCTTTATATTGAATACTAATTGTGCAAGTAGGGGAAATCCTAGTATGGCGGAGGCCTCATAAGAGCTAAGAGAACTTCTCGAGGTGGAGCCAGGTTTAGCTGAACGTGATAGCTGTTCAGCGGGCTGTGGAATCAATGGTAAAGTTTTGTGTCAGTAATAAAATATATGGGACCCGCACCTTTTACAGTGGAGCCCATAAATTTATTACTGACATGAAACCTCATCATTGATTCCACATACAGCTGAACAGCCATGGCATTCAACCAATCTGAATTCATTCTCGAGTTACTGTAGTGAGGTCATCTGTTCAAATTTAATGTTTATCAACCAATGATGGCATAATACCCTGTTCTTAGTATAAAAAATATCATTCTAGAGAGTGATAATCAAATGTTGGTTGAGGTCCTGAAACCTTGGGCTAAAAACAACAATCTGCATGATATTATACAAAATTGTGATTCCCTTAATATCATTTTCTCTCATGTATTTAAATAAGCAAACAAACCAGCTGGCTTTCTTGCAAATATGGGTGTAGAAGAATGCTCTAATCATGTTTTCTTCAATGAGAATGATCTTGGGGCTCAGACTGCAAAGGTTGATTTGAGAAGACAGTTTGGATTAACATGTGGTTCTAGGGTTCAAATGGGCAGAGTGGAACTGGTGATGGAAAGATGTTGCATTATATGGTTTGGGGCATGGCGAATTATGTCCTCCTACAAGAGAACTATGGAGTTATAGAGCACCAATATGACCATTTATCAGAAAAGTAGAGGCCCAAAGAATCTTAAACCTGTATGACATACATAAAAAGTAGTGGCCCAAAGAGTAAACTTTCGTTACCAAATCATCTTTGGTAGTAAATTCATTAAAATTCATATCTAAGACAAATCGTGACTGAGGGCAATTGATAAAGTTAAATTACTAAAATATTTAAAATTATTAAAAATCGAGAATTATGTAAAATTTTCGATGGATCCATTTATTTGATAGATCCTCCCATGCGATCAGATCGGCTTCCCAGTGTGCCCCACAGCCCACTCCCCCTGTGCACTGGGCAAGGTTCAAAATTTTGATACGATACGCCGAGTATCGGGCATATCATATCGTATCATATCAATGGCTTCGTGATACGCCTTTTTAAAATGGTTTCAGGCAAAGTTTTTAAAACCAATCCGAAGAACGAACTGGTCAAGAGTCCGATTTCTGGGTCTAATGGTTCAAACGGTTAACTGCCCAAATCAACGCTTTACTGACCAAAATCAACAGTTTTTGGCAAAAATCCGATTTTGGGGAAAAACATTACTGGTCACTTGACTGATAGTTTTCCAGTCCGACCATCCAGTCCAGTCCAGTTTTAAAAACCATTATTTCAGAAACCACTCTTTTTTAATAAAAAATATGATTAAAAATATGCCAAAAAACCAAATTAAAAAAAAAAAACTAAAAAATATATAAAAACACATTAACTTAGGTACCAATACACATGGGCATATCGATATTTTGAAACTTGGCACTGGTTACATCTCCCCATAACCATGACAAGCACGGAAGATGTTTTCAATGCATGGATTGGATGGGCAGTGGGGCGCACTCGGTGGGCAGCTGCAAAGGTTCTTTCCTCTGCAAAATACATTATATGATTCTTTCCTAACAACAAAATCATGCAAAGTACATGGAAAATAATTTTTTTTTACAATTCCTACTTTTCCTAACTTTTTAGAAAAATCAATTCCTTGGCAAAAACCATATATTGAAAGGTTCCAGGTATCGATACATACGGTACTGTATTCATCGTTTTCAAGACCACCGAAACGCTAAATAATGGGAGCAACAAATTTTTTATAGGTTTGAACATAACTGTCCCAATAAACATAGTAGGGAAATTGTCAACTGAAAAACCAAAACAAAAAATAAGAGTATCGATGGTTAAACTCTGGATAGAGTTCAAACCATTGAGCAAGAGATAATATATCATGCATTTCAAGCACCTAACCATGTAAATATACTTGAACTAAAAGGATTAAATAAAAATTCTGAAATCAGTACATTTTTCATGTTCATTGCAGATTTAACACACAAACCCACTTCAGCTCTGTAAAAAAACAATCATTTTAATGCTTTTTTTTCTTGGTAAACTTGAATTTCATAGTTCTGTCCTCGCAAGAATGAAAGATCGTAGGTTGCTTTGCTAAGAACATCCCCTCCATACTTCATGTTAAACAGGTAAGAACAGGTAGATTTGTAGCATTTTAAATACAAAATGTCGTAAAATTGTATTAGATGCATTGAATTTCATTTTAACAGAGTAACATGGTCTTGATCCTTCTATAAATTAAAATTCCATGAGATTGATATTTTCAGCCAGAATTAGACATTGCTTCAGCTTCAAAAGTTTCTGCTGCTTCATCGGAAAAACTTGGAGCTTTGGGGATGAGTCCAAGCACCTTGAACATTAACTGGTCCTTGTCGAAATCGTTATTTGGCGTTGTCAATAACTTCTCTCCTGTAAAGATTGAATTGGCTCCAGCAAGGAAGCAAAGTGCCTGCTCAGCCATAGAAAATCGGACCCGCCCAGCTGATAGTCTGACCATTGCCTTTGGCATCACAATACGAGCAGTAGCAATCATCCGAATCATCTCCCATATCTCAACTGGCTAAAGAAAGAGCAAGCCAAGATAACTTTCTGAAAAAGGCTCATTTTTGAGGGGTGTTTCTTCAGATGATTAGTAAGATTTCACGCAATAACAGATGTCACACCAGTAAATTGACTTATTCGCATCATCACATTGTACATACTAGGAGGCAAAAGAACAGTGGGTATCCGCTTGATTCCATGGTGGCACCAGGAACCTTGCGTATTTGAGATACATGCAAAATAGGGGTATAGTAGAAATGCTTCTTATGTCCATGCAAACAGTTATCTCTTGAGACATGGGCCATGTAAGTTCACAAGTGTTCGTTTGGATTGTTTATTTTATTTTATTTTTCTCTCCTTGCTTTGATGTTGGGTGATTTCTTATCACCTCCTCTGTATTATTAATAAACCTTTTTTTATTTACTTTCTGTAAGCCAATAGGATGAGGGTTCTCTGTTGGTCTTGAAGTTGGGAGATGAAGATGCCTAAAGGTTAGAAGAGCCAAGGACCAGGAACTAAGAAAAATGTTAGGTTGCTGAGAAGACTAGGGCAAAAATGGCTAAGGGAGAAGGATCCCCACTTCAAGGCCCTGGTTCCCTACTTATAGAATCAGGGAACCAGGTTACATGCATGGAGTGCATATTCCAGAATCTTCTTCGACTTTAACAAGCATGCAAAAGACAAATCCCTCCTGTTTCTCCTGAATGAACACGTGCCAAGAACCATGAGGTCGTTAGACCACATTCTTGGGGGCCACTCCAAGAGTGACATGTATCCACACGGATGTCAGGTACAACCAGTCATGGTTTTCCTGAGGCTCTCATGCACCACACCCCGGGTGCACTCCCAAAATCTAAGATCCTGGTTTCAGCCTCGTGAGATCAAAGCTGGCTTATTAGTTCTGACTTTTGGATCTCGCGCACTAGTGAGATTGCATTGTCACATTACGTTTGCAAGATCTTCATTCTGTGAGATCCACTACCACCAAATCTTGCTTGGTCTTGTGAGATCACACTTTTGGGATCCTCCGAGCCCTATCAAAGGGTTTCAAAGAGGTAATTTCTCTAAAATATCAAGGTTACCATGAGTTTCTCATTCCATGACACTTCTTTTGCCTCACGTTTCCAGTTAATGCCTCAGTCTCAAATCCTTAAATATATATCCACTCTCTTCAACTTTGAGAAAAAAAAAACTATTTCTAATGTACCACTAGGTTTGTCAACCTCACATGTGTTTCTCAGTTACGCAGCCTTACACAGAACAACATTCAATGTTGGAAGGACATAGTGAAGAAGTTTCTTACAAAGTGGTTTGTGATGCAGAGGAAACTAACAATTGTGATTCTGAGAAATGTGAGACAAAGTAAAGCAGAGGATTTAATCGCATTCATCGTGTGACTCTACAGAGCTTTGCAATAAGTTCATAGAGAACATGTCAAAGAAAAGGATTTCGTAGATGAATGTATACAGGGGATGCACCAAAGGCATAAGGTGGTGTTGGAGAACCACCTTCAACGATGTTGATCCCCTTTTCTTTGGTATTTCTATCTAAGCAGGCCTCTTGGAAATAGCAGGAGGCATCTTGCTGGTCTTCTTGCTCCTTCCCTTACCAGGAGAATGCTTGGTTCTTTGACCAGTCACTTGACCTTTTGAAGCTGGAACTTTGGCGGTAGCACCCACGAGCATCATCTTTTTCTTCCTCTGTTTCTTTGGAATCCCTGGCTTCAAATCTCTTAGTAAATCATCTCTATTCATGGTCTTCTCGAGCCAAACTACCTGCAGCTATCCCACAGCTTCGACAACCAGAAGTTTGATGTTAGAGACACCATCATCTCACTAGGCAATACATCTATCAGCTTTTTCGCAAGAGAGACAAACAACTTCTTGTACTAGCTCTCCCTAATGGGGCCAAACATGTCCAACCTGAACTGCTGATACATTCAATTAGGGCGGTACATATAGTAATTCTGTTTGCCTCCCAACAATGCTAGTGTTGCACTTTTCCAATCCACCCACTCAATTCTAGTGTTCTTATCTTCTATTCTGACTGAATATGAATTGTCACTTCCAAACACAACCTCAAGGTAAGAACTTCTACGGAAGGCAGTCCTTGTATCCAACAAGTCAAGAAGGCACTTTGCAGTAACCTTTTGCAGCATCTTTACAAGCCTAACAACTGGTCTGATTCATAATAGAAATGCCTAAGTAAACAGAATAGTGTTTCCAACCACAACTTGAGGACCAAGGAATAAAAACTTTGACATCAGGCAGACTAAAAATTTGGCCAAATGCAGAGCTTCGCTGCCTCTACACTCTACAGACTGGGAAACCAGTAGATAGACTGAAAGGAAATTAGTAGCTTGAATCATCAATCTCCTCCATCAACTCATTGTCTATGTCCCTCTCCATCTTTGGACCAATTACCCTCAATTGAGCATGGCCCCAAATAACATGTCCCTGAATATGGAATATTGAGAAACATAACATCTTTCGAAGTAACAATAAATTTCCCTCAAGTTGTGACGAATGTGAGAGCTCACTGACACATTATAAGTGTTTTCTTGAATCCACACTCCTTGATGCTCTTCAAAGCAACCAAACAATCTGCTAGCTGCCAAAGGCACAACTCATTTTCGGAACAGCTTGCACCATACTTCAAAAATCTATGCTCCAGTTGCAAACACCCAAAAGCATTGTAAACTCTGGAAGGATGATGTCACACTCAAAGCTCCCGCCTCTGCACCAGATATACTGAGTGGTAATCTTCTTAGTAAAGGATTAGCAATACTCTTGTGACACAGGTCTGGATGCTCGTTCAAGTCATCCACCACCTCCTCATAACCTAAAGTTCTAATCTTCTCGGGGAAGTCATTGATAATAACATCAAATGTCACAGCCATACCCATGGTTGTAAAAAAAAAAGGAACACAAGGGGAGAAGAAGAGCAAAGCTGATAGAAGAAAACATAGTTGTCAAGGCGTCGCCTAGGCGACTAGGGCCCTTGGCTGGGCACCTCGCCCAAACACCTTGACTTTTAGCAACTAGGCGCCCCTTCCAGGCGACTAGGCGCCCACCTAAGCACAAAAATGACAAGGCGGGCGCCTTTTATAATATCATTTATATTGTTGTATCTTAATAATGTATGTGTTAATACATTTTATTATATGCTATATATAAATATATATATCGATTTTACTTTGTTTTAATGTTTTACTATTGAAATTTAAAAGATAAAAGGGTTTTGAGAAGAGAAAAAGAAAGAAAGAAAGAAAAGAAAGAATAGAATAATAAAGTTCTTTTTTTCTATTCTCCCTCTAATTAAATAAAACAGAAACTCCATCCTTGTTGTTTTTTTCTATTTTACTTTCCATCTTGAATATTTATCATATAAAGTTAATAACTTTCTTTAGCTGCTAATTAATATGAATTTGCTCTATTAAATACTTATTATAGTAGTATTATTTTTGAAAATAATGAAATTAATATATGTAAAAGATTTATATCTTTTAGATGTGATGATTTGCCACATTTTTTGAGGAAATTTAATGTTCTTAATTAAGAGAATTGCTATTTTTTCAATTAACATACATGCTGAATGTAAAACTAGGAAACTAGCCAAAAGTCAGTTTTTTATATTATAAATTTTTTATCGCCTAGGCGACTAGGCGACTAGGTGCCCCTAGTGTTGCCCAAAATCGCATAGACGCCTTGAAAACTATGGAAGAAAATTTACACCAGCAATATGTGTGTATTTAATCAAGAAAACAGCAAAAGAAAGGAAGAAATCAGTACAAGAAGACGAGGAGAAGATGGAAAAAGACACCAAATTAACAAGAATACTCTTAACAAGGCAACTGCCTATAAACATAAAGTAAAAGAGGCTAACAGGCCCATTAACTCAAAAAGATAAGAATACTTGCTTAAAAGTAACTAGGGTCCATCCAGCCAATATTTATACACTCCCCCTCAAGCTGAGCATAGATGCCAATCATGTTCAACTTCCTAACATACCGCTGTAATTTTGCTTTAGGAACTCCCCTTGTTAAGTACATCAGCTAGCTGCTCTTCAGATGCACTGAAGGGTAGGCAAACTTCCCCAGATGCCACTCTTTCTTTGATGGAAGTGTCTGCCAACCCCAATATAGTTCATTCAGTCATGTTGGATAGGATTATGTGCTATGTTAATGGTCACCTAATTATCACAATACAACATTTGTGACTTGTCATATTCAACACCCATCTCCTCCATTAGAGACCATAGTCACACCAATTCTGATACACCATAATCCATGACTATGTTCTACTTCAGTTAATGACCTGGCAACCACCGACAGTTTCTTGTTACTCCCCAAAACCATATTTCCAGCTACCATAGTACAATACCCAGATGTAGACCCTTGTCATCAAATACAACTTACAGTCTGCATCTGTATTAGGCCTCCAAATTTATGTGATCATGCTTTGCAAAAAGGATACCTTTTCCTAGTGTACCCTTTAAGTAGTTCAAAATTCTCTCTACTACAGCCACATGTGTAAACCTAGAATCATGCATAAACTGGCTGATGACACTAATTGCATAAGAAATGCTAGGGTGAATCATACATAGGCACAACTTCCCCAAAAAAAAACTCTGGGACACTCCTATCCGCAAGTAGCTCTCCATCAGAAGTTGGACAACTTATGATTCAAATCAATGGATGAGGTAGCTGGTTTCACCCTAACATTACCTGTCCCAATGAGAAACTTCAACCCCAAGAAGTACCCTAGATCCCCCAAATCTTTAATTTCAAATTTAGTATTAAGAAAATGTTTGCAACTTTTAACCTCCTACATATCATCACCAATAACAACAATGTCATCAACATAGACAATCAGAAAAGTAACCAGTCTATCTCTCATCATCACAAAGAGGGTATTGTCAGACCATATCTAGGTATTGCCAAATGCCAAATTGAATAAGAGCAGCCTTGAGCATTTCAAACTCCTAAGGCCATAAAGTGATTTATTCAGTTTACATGCCTTGCCCTACATCTCTTTTCAATGCATCCAGGGAGTGGCCAATGAAAATTAGCTGCCAAGGATAACAAAACTCTCACAGAAGTCATCTTATCAACTAGGGTAAATGTCTCCATGTAGTCTAGTTCATACATTTGTGTATACCCCTTAGTAACTAAGCAGGCTTTAAACCTTTCAATTGACCCATCTACATGATACTTTATGGTATAAACTCATTTGCACCTAACAGGCTCCTTGCCTTCAGATTCGATAGTTCTTCTGATACAGATTTAGGAATAGACTAAGAAGAAACAGATGCTAAGCAGGAATAATAGGATGGAGAGAGCAACCTATAAGATAGATACTTTGAAATGCAATATGCAATGCATTTTCTTTTACGTTTTCTTATAGCAATGAGGATATCAAGGTCAGCAAAGTAGGTTGCAAAGGTATGGCTCAACACTTGGAAGTCTAGGAAGCTCAAATGTAGAAGTGGAAACAATATGCTCATTCTTGTGCCTTCGCCACTACTACCACCTTTGAAGGATAGGAGGAGTCACAAAGGAGGGAGCATTTGGATGCAGCGGTGGAGCTGGAATAGAGAGTTAAGAAGAAAAGATGACTCAACAGGAGAGTGATCATCAATGGACTCAATTGGGACAAGAAAAGGAAGATCAAATAACTCAAAAGAATTCTCCCCCTAAGAAGAAAGACCATAAAAGGGAATAGACTATACAAAAAAGACATCCATAGAAACGAATTGAGTGCCACTAACAAGATCAAAACAACAGTAACTCTTCTATGTGGAGGCATAATCAACAAAAAAAACCATTTGCGGGCCTTTGGTTCAAATTTGTGTTTAGGAGCTAGGAATAGGGACATAGCATGTGCAACCAAGAGACGAAGGGGAAGAGAAAAAATCTGTGTTGGGAAAAAGCAGACTAAAGGGATATTTGAAACCCAAGACTCTAAATGCCATACCGTATAAGTTGTTGTAATAATAGCCTGCCCCCAAATTTTCAGAACATGTGAGGCAAAGAGGATGCATATGACTACTTCAATAATAAAATGGTTTTTGCATTCAACAGCTCCATTCAGTTGTGGAGCGTGCGCACAAGAGCTTTGGTGAACCCCAAAATCATCAAAGGTAAGAAACAAGACTTTTCTCAAAATATTTCTTAACATTATATGACTGGAATATTTTGATGTGTCAAACTGGGTAAAAAAAATTCATGAAATTGTCTCACAATCTTTGGAATTTCATCACATGAGCGCACCAAATATATCCAAGTGATACTGGAAAGGAAATGTAGATCTTTTAATACTCAGAGGATAATTGTTTTTACAATGCTTTGAGAATTCACTCGATTCACAATGTAACTTGATACACTAACTTCTTTAAACAACTTTGAAAAAAAATGACTCATAGAGGAAAAAGATAAATGACCTAACCATAAATGACATAACACAATACAACTGATGGACTCTAAAGGCACACCAAAAGCAATTCTCAAGAGCTATCCTTGGCTTCACTCACAAACATCTAGAAAGTATATTCCATTCAACTCATGGCCACTCCTAATCACCTTTCAAAACTGTAGGTCCTAAGAAAATGCAATAAGGGAAAAAGGTTATACACTTGTACAACAGTTTATAGATATATTCAGGTTACTTGTAGACAAAAGGTTAGTGTGGAGTTTAAGGACATGAACAAAGGTGAGGGTAAGGTAATCTATAGTCTCATTATCTCCCTTTCTAGAAATTGGGGCAAAAGAGCCATCAGGTACAGTGTTTTTATCATGACCAAAAAGAAAATATTAGGAACTAAATAGAGTGGATACACTAGTCATACCTCTCCCATACTTCTCAAATTCGGCCTTTACAACTACCAGCAGCTCAATGGTGTTCATTCAAGTCAGGTCTGGATGCTCATTCAAGTCGGCCATCACTTCTTCATAATCTAAACGTTTAATCTTCTCAACAAAGTCCTTGGGAGAGTGACAATGAATCTTCAGATGTCAAAGAGTCCGAGAAGGAGAAACCTTCTCGATTACTTTCGAATACTAAAATAAACCCTAAATCCCTCAGTTGATGCATCCTTGACCCAACCCACCCTGACCCTTTGTCCTGACCCTAATGGGTACCCTCGACCCAACCCCACCCTCACCCTTTTCCCCTAATCCTAATGGGCCATTCAACCCATATTGATCCGCCACTAGCATAGGTGGGCATGGGTGGGTTGGATGGACCAAATGAGTTGGGTCAAAATTGCCAGCCCTACTTGTAAGGAAGATCCAAGCACTACTACCACCAAAGCGGCGGACGACCTCCTTTACAGACTCAAATGGCAGAGGCATATCAATCTCACTCTAAGACTACCTTTTCTTTTGTTGTTATTACCAGCAGAAAGGTTTGGGAGAATAGGGTTTCTAGTCCAGCTACAGTACCCAGGTGTGGGTTCTGCACAGTGGTCAAATATCTCTAATGTCAGAATATAGGCTCTCAGCCATGGTACTGCAGAAAGTTTTGGGAAAATGGATATGGAAGTATGAAATCCCATCAATATAGAGGAATATAATTAACACAGATATGGATTTGCACCAGATCTCAAACCCCATAATCAACCATCTCTGCAATAGTGCAATTGCAGAAAAAACAAAATATCCTTTGGCCTTGTTCTGCAATGGCAAAAAGACCAAAGAGAGATCTAGTGCAAACCCAACCTCATTTGTTGGTCATTGCTGCAGTGGCAAAAAATCAGAAATTCCTATGGCCTTCTACAATGACGAAAAGACTAAGAGACTGGAGACTAGTCTCTCCTTCCATTGGTGATGAACAAACGGTCAAAGGAGATATTTGAACCTCAGTCCATCAATCCATCAATCATCAGCTTTTCCCACCAAAATTATTTGAACCTTGGTCTGTCAATCGTCAGTTGTTGCCGAATCTCCCTATTCTCTCCTCCCATCCTTAAGCTATGCAAATGCTAAACCCTTTCCCACCAGTTACCCGAACCTCAACTATTATGATTCGGTGGGTGCAGCCTTGGAAATCCAGATCCTTCTAGACTTAGAGGAGTGTCTAGGAACTGAGGACATGCCATTGCTCAATTTCCAGGTCCAGTGGGTGTGGAAGACTCAATTAGGGCTTAACTTATGGCAGTGGTTCAACGATTACAGATAGCTAGAGACTTAAATTTGAACAGACTAATTGTGTAAGGAGATTTCAAAAAGTAGTGGGATGGCTACAAAATCTGGAGACTGTTATTTAGGAATGTAGGGTTGAACTCAAGAAGGTTAAATGGCTTACCAGTAACATAACAATGAATGTACTTTGGAAGAGAAGATTGGTTAATGGAATGGTTGACTTCAAGCTAAATGTAATATGTAGATTTTTTTTGATAAGGTGAATTTCACACCTCTCCCTAGGTTGCTTGTATTGCTATATATTCTGGTTTTCTAATAAAAGTACTTCTGAAAAAGAAATCTCAACTGAGCATAATAAAGCCTTACCACAACAATTTATATCAACTATAAAAACCCTGGTCGTATTATCTATTGGATTATGAGATTTTGAGAAACTAAACAGTACTAATAATATTTTCAAAACCTTTGTTAAACAACAAAGATACACCCACTGTTTTTGCACCTTCCTTATGTAATTAGCAAATCTAATATTTGAAAGTTCATGCATCACAACCTAAAAATATTGTTATGATCTAAAGAGCCTAAAAATTTCTAGAACACAATACTTTCAGTTGAATTCAGGGAAATAATTTAGATAATAGGAATGTATAAGCAAACACTAGTTAAACAAGCAGCATCAACAAAGACAAGATAAATACAGTGAAAAGACCTATAAAAACATTTACCTTTTGGTCTTGAAGAGGTGTCCCTTTGACTGCAACCAGTGAGTTGATTGGAACACTCTCAGGGTGTGCTGGAAGTGTTGCTAATGTGTGCAATAAACCAACTCGGTCCTCCTCCGCTTCTCCAAGTCCTATTATTCCTCCTGTCAACAGAGTTTAGGGCAAATGAGTTGACAATACCTATGGTTTCAGAAGTTGAGATATGTCAGAAATGTCAACCAACATATTCCAGTGTCAAGACCAAAACAAGACATGTTCAAGTGAGTTTTAAAAATACAAAAAACAACGGTTCACGTGTATTGTTTTGGTCAATGTGGACCAAATTGGCCAATACACAAAATATCCAATATTCTAGCTTTTAAATAAAATACTTTGAAACCAGTGTCAACATATTCTAACAAAAAAGAAACGCAAGGATATAGAAAAAGGGAAGCATATTTTACACCAGGAAAGTGAAAATGAAAGATCAGATGTATCCATTGGCATGTAGCAACAAAGAGTGAAAAAGAAAGATTGTCAGTTTCTAGTGCAACCGTTCATGCATAGAAGGGAGAAAATCGAGGTTTATATACCTGGAAACCCACAACACAACAGCAGACTTGCAGAATCCTAGGTTAATTCAGATCTTGGAGCTGAAACTCAAGAGGGGAGAAAGGAGTGCCTACATACCTGGAAACCTATGAGTCACAACACAGCGGCAGATCTTTCAACTTTGTAGCTCTCAGCAAAATGGTAGTGGCAACATCTTCATTGTTTCAAATCCTTTTTTTTTTTGATGAATGATAATAAATTTATTAATTCAGAAGCAGATTTAGTGTGAGTTCATACAACATCCCAGGGAGAGGTGCGAGCTGCAACCCCTCCTTGAATCTTACAAGTAAACTAGGAAAGAAAAGCAAGAATCGCAACTGAACCCAAAAGAATTCTTCCCTATTTACACCTTGCTTAGCTAGCACATCTAACAAAGTATTTGCTGATCTCCCCACCCAAAGTACAGTGACCAACATATTCCTTGTCAACCAACTAAATTTCTTCATTTCATTCTTGTAACACCACATAGCCTCTTAAGGATTTTTCAACCAACCCACCACAACTTTGGAATCCCCCTAGATTGTTGGGTGTTGTACCCCCAGCTGGTTTGCAAATTGCACCCCTTGTACAACAGCTAAAAGTTCTGCCCTGATGGAGTCCCCAATTCCCGAGGGACCTGAGTAGAGCAACAAAATCTCTCCCTTCTCATTTCTCAAAGCACCCCCCATTCCGGATAATCCTGGATTACCCATGCTACTTCCATCAAGGTTCAACTTCAGTGAGCCTTCGGATGGAGGAGACCAGCTTGTAATTGATTTGTCCTTTAGAGATGAACACTTCGCTACTGTTGACCAATTTCTCCAAAGGTCATTAAAGGAGAATTGATGAAAGATTTCCAAGGTCCTCAGCCAAAGTATTGCCCTATTTAACACACAATCTTTCAATTCCCAACTGCTCCTTTCCTTTTATTGAAAAATTCTAATATTCCTTTCTTCCCAAAGAGTCCAAATCAAGGTAGCACGAGCACATCTCAACATAATTCTCCCTATTGTTGTAGGCCAATAAAAGGTAGAATGGTTGAAGAGCATGTGAACTTCTGCTGGTAGACTCCAACTACTCCCAAACAACGAAAGTAGCCAACTGCAGAAAAGGGACAAGATATTAAAATAGGTGGTAACAATCCTCACCGTGAACTCTATAGAGGATACACCAATTAGGAGAAATACAGAGGAAAGGTCTTCTCTTTTGTAGGTTATCTAGAGTGTTTACTTTCCCATGGATTCCCAACAAAACGCCATAATTTTTTGGGGAATTGGCCTACACCAAATTTCTTTTGACAGAAAGGGTTGGTGTGTAGAAAGTTGAGAGATGGACTTAAAGAAAGAAGCACAAGTGAAGGTTTCATTGGGTCTAGGAGTCCA